GCGGCGACTGCCTACAGAGCCCTTGTGTACGCACTTCCTCAGGCAGTAAAGGTTGTCCAACTCAAACCGTCTTCCCTGACTTTTGATTGGGAATCTTTATCTTGTCGACCACACGACTTAGGCAGGGCTACCAAACCACATCTTACCTACGGGTGGTCTGAGAGTCAGACTGCAACGGCTCTTTCTTAATCTAGCCTTTGTGGCACTCTTACTCCGTGGGATCCGAGCCAAATATGACGGCACGCCGAGGTGTGACTTCGGCCGCGCCAGCCTCTTTTGGTATTGTTAGTGAAAATCCTGGTCATTTGCTGTGTGGACCAAGAGGTGTGGAATGGAGCCTCAAGCTGCGGGCTCCACCGTGTAATCCACCTGCGCCTACCCCTGACTGCGGTCTTCATGACTCTGTCTTGACAGCGGGTCCAGGTGGGGAAAAAGTAGAAAGTACGGTAGATGCAGCACAAGTCTACATTCAATATGAACTAATTCACGCGCAAGTCACCTTCCCTGCTTCTCGTTGCTGTGCAACACACGGTGGGCATCGTCGAATGAGACGATCGAACTGTCGGGTCCTACACGAACAAGGCAAATAGAGGCGTCATAAAGGTAGTCAAAAGGAGTCATTATGGCCTGACTCCCAATCCTGAAGTGGACTGATTTACCCAGTGCGTTGGTTGCCTTTCAAGCGACAACTTTCACAGCGTCGAACTTATTGTAGTGAAGGAATTAAGTGCCGGCTTTGAGTTTAATCGATCTTTCTTCCTTTCCTCCTATATATTTACAAGTCAACACGCTTGCAGACGAGATTGGATGAAGTGGTGGAGGTGGTTAAAAACTTCGTCTAACGTGTACTGTGACTCTTTGTGACCTCTGTTTCCGTCGAAAACAACAATAAAGCCAGATTCATAGGGTTGCTTTGAACACACAAACCAGGTCCTTGACACGTTCTTGAGATGAATATTCGCCCCTAAGTACATTAGGCAAACAGACATCCCTGTCCCCAACGTGCCACTGGTGTAAAAAAATGAACGAAAATTACTCACTATGGATGCCCTCGCCTCATCTATTGTTTTTTATCTCGTTCAACCGTTCTTGTGTAACATGAATTGCATTAGTTACCGGCGCAACTGGGACATCGGCTGTCACATTTCGGGCGCCCTATTTCATATTTAAACGGTTGACACTTTCTATACCTTTGGGTTGCGAGCAGGCATTCGGTTGTGGCAGTTAACCCGGCCTGGTGATGGCGGCCAAAAACCTTCGCCACTTGAATGTTTGCGTCACGTGTGACTCAGCCCCTTGGCTTGGCAACACTGTGACGCCACTCGACGTTCTGATCTTCACTGGTTGGTCGCGGGTGCACACTCACCTGGCAGAAAAAGAACGACCGCTGTCCCTCAACGTTGTAGAACAATCTGTGTTTCAGACTTCTGGATTGCTTGTGTAGCACTTCAACTCTTCATCGCTCCTTCGTGCTCGCCTCGATTGGTCAAGTTGCATTTAAATCGTTGCATGGAATCCCTCATCCTCGAATCCGAGTCCTACACAAATTCCTTGTGACAAAGTTTTACTGGCCCGACGCAAACATGGAAGTCGAGGCTTGGACATGGGCCTGTCTGAGCTGCTAGCGAAAGAGGGTTCGGCGTCACGACAAACTCTCACCAGACAGCTCTCCCAGGTCCAGAACGAACGCATCGAAGTCATTCATTTTTAGGGAGATTTGAAAGTCAGATGCCGACCCTAACCTTACTAATAACAATCAAGCCTAACCGTTGAGCCTGGTTTTCTTTTTATATTTCCAGTCTGCGTCTCTGCAGCTGAGGGTGTAGATTGTGATCACTCCTTTTGATATAATACTAAGTTGTTCGCGTACAACACACCTCCGCGGATCTTACGTTGTTCTATGGGGCTCCGCAGGACTCCGGACGCGAAGCAACCGACGAACTGTCAGTGTTGCTATTTCGTGCCTTTCACATGGCTGGGCTATCTAACAGGGTTTACAGGTAGAACTTTCGCTCGGTGAGGGCACAAGCCTATTGCATTGTGCAGTTTTGCAAGCCACCATGTCGCATTTTGTCTTAAATCTGGCGAATTGTAAGGTGGTCTGCATTCAAACTGGACTCCAGGTTCATGCCACGGCAATTGATTTGTCAGAAACTCTGTCCATAAACCGGACAGTAAGCACGAAAGTTCGCCCTTTTGCAAAATAAACGACCGTTCCCCGCGTACTGGAGCTTGCGGACTCGATCATGGCTCGGGCCAAGTTATTGCAGTGTGACCTTAGGAAGAGTGCGACATTGACCTCACAGTTCTTGTCACTGTCACAGATATGTTGAATTGTTCCGCCCTATCAATGCAGACATCAGTCGACTCTGATGCCTCTTCAGCTGAAATTCATTAGCTTGAATCGGACAAATACTGCTCGCAAAGAACTCGCTGAGAGGCTGTCAGACCCATGTGCTATGAGCATTCAACCCCGTAGAAACTCTCACACGCGAAATTATCGCATTGTTGCCAATGGGGAACTCAAATGCGTTACCATCGACTGACTAACGCATGGCGAAGGCCCAAGTGACAGCAATGGCCCGATTTTATGACCTTCCCAAGGTGCACAAAGAGGGCGCCGCCTTCCGGTCCGTCATACTGCTCAAGAGTACTTAAAATTACGGACAGACGAAGTGGTCTCTGCGCCAATGATTTCTGACCACTGGTTCAGGAACTTAAATAGTAAGCCTTCTGCCAGGCGACGTTGTAGTGCTGTTGAAGGCCACACCCACACCCCTACGGTCAAGGGCCTGGAGATCGAGACCATCGAACTTCTCCTGCAAATCAAATGAGACAAAGCGATAAGTCGCCCAGAGCATCCTAATTTTCTGAATTTCGGTCTCAGGATGCACTTCCGTCCGAGGCGGCCCTGCGAGGGTTGAAGTAGCTGTGCTTCGAAATTCTGGACTCAGTATATGGATAATACCATTGCCGTCACTAAAGAGGATCAGTTGCCGGCATCCAAAGAAAATCACAAGACCGTCTTCTCCGATATACCATTTACAATGGAGGAAGAATAAGAGCAACTGGCCTCCCTTGATGTCTTCGCCCATCGCAGAAATTAAGGTGGCCTAACAGCTAAAGCCTCTAGGAAAGCTAGAAATAAGGTACAAGTACTAAGCCTCAACAGAGTCCATCATGGCAGCGACAGACGCAATTACGTAAGGGCGATATATCGGCGTGTTGAGACGCACTGCAGTGGACCAAAAGACAGGGTTGCTGAATCGCAATACTTACGACGTGTGCTCAGGCCGAATGGCTACCTGCGCCACTTCGTCTACTGGTGCATAGGCAAACGAGACGAGAAACCGAGTCGCACCTGTGAACGTTTCGGTGCGTTAAGAACGTCATAGAAGCCGTCAACAGCCTTCTCACGGCACGTTTTGCTGGAGTTGTGTCAGACCAGAGTTAATCATAAGCCGGCAGATAATGAGACTGGGGGGACCACTGTCGCGGCAGGAGGCGTCCGAAGCCGCGTACCCGAACTGGTTCAGTTGTGGGCAAAGCGGTTACTTCGGAGAGACTGGAAGACTGCTCTGAACGCGGACGGCCGAGCACGCAGTAGCAATGGGGGAGAATGACGCTGGCTCCCGGTCTGTTCGAGGGGACCTGGCCACACGTTTAGGTTTGGAAAGACTGAAACTTTCGTGAAAGATGAAAACCGTTTGAGCCACCATCCGCAGCCAATTAACAAGCGCAATGACCTTCCTCTTCCGCGCCGCATCTTTTTAGAGTTCATCGTCGAAAAGCGAAAACTCACTACACCCCGTGTTCTTTCATCCAAACGTGAAAACGTAGAGACTGGGTCGTTTGAAAATGAACGGTGAATCGGAAAACCCAGGGCGAATGCGCATATCGGGGTGTGCACATCACGAAATCTCATAAATCCCTGCAAAGGCAATCTAGATGGTTTTAGTCAAAAATAACTACCCTCCGAGCACTACCCACCTCCAGAATAGTCCTACGTTACACACCGCCTAATACAAGTCCAAGTATTTCCCGTTGGAAAATATTAAATAAGACGAATTGGCTGAGGACATCTCAGTGAAATTTAAAAAACGACCTCCCCGATTTTAAAAACTGTGGCTTACAGCCCTCATCTGTCGACACGCTTGGTTTTCGAATTGATTTCCTTTGCCATAAAGATAGCAGTCCTCACACAACCGACTCCGGAAGTTAAGGCAATTCCTGTCAGATGAGCGGACAATTAATTTCTCGCCGTCACTGACTCACAGGTAGGGCCTATTTTTGAGTTTACATTTTGAGGTATGATGAAATGTCTGCCAAGGCCTTAATAACAGAGAATTCTGAAGGGTAGATTCACACAACTATATTTTTTGTCGTCCTGAAGCCATACTGGTACCTTAGAGCTTATCCTTGCTCTAGGATTATTCTGAGTTCTCCTGGGCAGCGAGTCCATATTACGGTGTTTCAATAAACACCTTCGCTAATTATTTCGATAACAGTAATAGAACAGCTTATTTTTGTAAAATGGGTGGAACTTTACATTTACAATGAGAGCGGGCTTTGACTAACCGCTGCCCTACCGCTGTGTGGTCGACGATACCGGCGGCGCGCAAAGAGGGGACTTTGTTTTCCAAACTTTACTCAGGGGACTGTGCCCCTGGAGTCAGTTTTAAAAAAAGAACAGCACATTTGTACAGTGTGTGGAGCAAACCAACCGTCCTCATAATAAACATTTTCTGTCCTTATAAAATAAGTAGTAGGCGACTCCGAGTATGCGCGAACATGAGCACGCAGGTGATAAGAGCAGAGGGAATCTGATGAGAACACGGGGCATCGGGAAGCGCTGACAGGAGAACAAGATAGTGGCAGCAGCAGCATGTTGTTGCCCATCGACACAGAAGAGCGTTGCCCATCTCCCTCCCTGGATAACAGAGGTCATTGGAAGCATTTTTGGGCAAGGAGCGGCGAGGGGAGGGAGAAAGAGGGTGGTCTCATGAAACCATTACATATCCACTGTCTTCCTCTGGACCAGAGAAATCATCCGTTTGTGGAGGGGAGGACTGAAAATCAAAGTTTACCAAACACGGTGAGAAATCCAGAGAATTGGCATGGAATTAAAAATGTGTACTATGGACAACAGGACACCCAATTGGATTGAGGTAGTACCAGGGTACAACACTTATTGGCGCGTTGGGGAAGTTGCTGCAGCTTTCCGGGAATGGTTAGTAAGAACTGATACATAGAAAGATATAAAACGATCGGTTACCCCTAATCCACCCGAGTGTCTTAACATTAGGCTCCAACCATGCTCGGGCTACTTGTACTTGTACTTGGTACGGCCGCGATCATGCCTGATCTAGCCAGCCTAGATGATATCCCGAACTGCACCTCTCCACGCGTGACGATCCGCCACAGCAGATCTAGACAGCTCAACCCATTCCCTTCGCCAACGACGGAGACCGAATACCGAAGGTCCAAGAACCACCTCCATGTCTTGACGGACAGTGTCGAGCCAGGTTTTGAACTGACACCCTCTTCGGGCTAGAAATTTGTAGAAAAACGTTCTGACTATCAGACCTTAAGGGACATTGTCAAGGTGTTCATTATGGAAGTGAGAGGAAAACTTGGAACAGCAGAGACTGAGTTGGTATAATATCCTACGAAAATGATAGTGGTGCGTAGTAAGCACAACCTTATATAAAGATCTCAGATACATCAAAATTCCCAAGTCAGGTGTGGAAATTGCATTGAAGAGCTAAGAAGGGACTGAAAGTCTTACAAATCTGTCACGACCTTACCATCTGAAGTTCAATATCTTTAGTGATGAGATAAAACTTTAACCAAATCCAACTTTGGCGAAGTTCAGGAAACACAATCAATGAGCAAAATAATATCAGGAAGTGTTTGGTAAGTGAAAAAGTACACCGAAAAGATAGAAAGTCATCGGGATGCCTTAAGGGTAACTTTTTGATTAGGAATAGAATAATGGACGAACTGTCCCTCCAACTCAACCCTAGTCTCAAACACCGAGGCTTAAAAAGAGACCCTGAACTCTGCTAAAAGAAATTCGAGACTCCTGGCGGCATAATTCGAAAGGAGGTTCAGTCCCTATACCCTCCAGCTGTAACTTAAACCTTGACCATAAACTCTAACCCCAAACTCCAGACTAAGCCTTACAAATTGACACTAACGCCAAACCCCCATCCTAACCCTAAAGCATAATTCTGACCGTAAACCCTAACACTGATCTCAAACAACAACCGTAAAAGCATTTCTCTAAACTTCAGCTTTGGACCTGGCATTCAGGATTTCTGTTCACGTCCAGATTTCAAGTAAACCGCATCCACTATAGGCTAGGACATTTCGAACATGGTCACCCAAATATGGGTGTCACTGTAGATCAGTCCAACCAAGGCATCTGAACGGCCACTGAAGGTCAAAGCGCCACTTTAAAAAAAAGCATTGAGAGGGTGCTTAAAAGTGAATGCTCTCATTTCGGATCGGGGCATCCAGAGGTTGTAGACTACCGTATACGATGATCGCGCAGATCAATATACGGTACTCGAAAGCATTCAAAACCACAAGGAATTAGTAGTCCATAAAAATAAGGTCAGTCTCTTTGCGCACTGGGCCAACGGATGGGTAACAATGCAAGACATGTTGATAAATTTGGAAGTACGTCGGCTTCTTTGATGCGATGGATGGGCACATGCGTCAATTAATGCCCATAAAGTTTTATGCAGAATGACATTACCGACATAGATAAGGGAGACTGGAATGGTCATTTTTGGTTTGTTAGCCGTCATCAGCTAGCCATGCCCAACTCCGACGTATGCAACCCCCAAGACCGGAATTCGCGACTTGCTGGTTAGAAACCCAACGTCCTAACCGTTGAGATTGAGCAGAATGGGACGAGTGAGTCCTGTAACAGGATCGGTGGACGCCCCCCTACCATCGGTAAGATTTAACTTTTTTGGTGACGTTAATAGAGAAGGTTCTCATGTGATACACTCAGAGATTTACTGAATGATTTGGAAAACCTGTCTTCTGTCAACTAGTTCCCAGCCGGTGGTTTATGACACATGCTGACACTAAAAGTGCACAACAAACGCCACTCCGGGGCAACCAAATAATTTAGATGTGCATCAGAGTACGGTCTTTCGAGAGACGATACCCATTGGGTTACTTTACGCAACCCTTGGTGGAGCCAAAGGAATAAGCCAGCCAAGATAAGAATTCGGGCTGATGCTTCACGTGACCCAACGCTTCACTAGGTGCTTCGAGAAAGCCAGTAGCGTAGCCTGTAGTGCTCGAGACTTCTGACCCACAAGAGCAGCTTCTTCAACCGCTTCACGAACGTAATAATCTGACCACCGCCTATTTTCTGCCAGATGGGTCTGGTTTGATCATACGAAACTCGGTGAAACGGGGACGTTTAGGCATGTGCAGCCCATCGCCCAACCACGCGAAAATTCCTGACGAGCCGCCAGACCTCAGTCAGGTAGCGCAAGATTAATGCAATCACAACAGTTCAGTCCTTACAGTGGTCCTCGAGTATGTGTAATTGAGTGACTAGATTTTATGGGTTTAACGATGCCAGGAAGCACTTTCCGAAGCGCAGAACTTAATCTCGTTGGACTAACAGCAGCAAAGTAGTGAATGAAGCCGATCAGTAAGGCATTGACGCGTACGAACGCATAATTCCTGCAGAAGTGGGACTCACAAATCGCGACTGACTGCAGAATGAAACAGGGGTTTTCCGTTTTGTCATACAGCCGCAATCCACCCGGACGGACCATCGAACAACAGCAACATTAACCGGTAATCGACAGCGCCGAGAACCGAGAGGTTTATTTACATAGGGGGGTCGCGAGAGCCACTAGAGGTTGCTTGCCATCAACAGTCGGCCCTACTACAACCTCGGATCGAGATGAAAAGACCTGAACAAGGTTGATCATGTATGCGGTTAAGTGGCCCATCAACGAGCCGTGGGCTCAGCACCGTAGACAAACACCCCCGCGGTCTTCTGAGTACTCTCTATCGCAATCAACGCAAGAGCAGATGAGTCAGTGATAGAACTGAAACCTACTGACGTGGTTACAAGTCTCAAGAGCAGGCATGAGATACGGTTGAATGGTAGGGACAAAAGAACCAGAAACTGTACAACCAGAACTGTACAACCTCACCCTCTGTGCTAGCGCACCTCTTGGCAAATGTCTCTGTTTTGACACCCAGGTCGCCTTACATACGCGATATCGACAAGATTTACTACTCAGACTTGGGAAGATCTTCAATACTTTTGAGAAGTACATGGAGAACTTTGCCGTGGCACCATGTACTCCCTTAATAGAAGGTTCACGGGGACACGACAGACTGTATAAGTCCTCTTCAAAGTACACTTATCAAAAGGCGTAAAAGGGATGGCTGAAGTGCCTTATGCACAAAACCTAACTTCAAAGCAAGGATACAAACCTCTTCAAAATAGCGAAATGTAATGAGCAGCCAGTGAAGAAAGGACTACATCTGGATCGTTTTTATCCACTTTCACAGGGATGCCAATTCTTTCAACACCAACTTAAAAAAATTATTGACCGTGTCACATAGTAATCATCAAATTATGCGGAAGAAGTTGGGGGTTGTTAGTCAAATTCAGAACTTGAGCGCAAAATAAACAAGTGCTGTCTACAAACGGGCGTAACCACAGGGGCCGTGTGTTCGGCGCATGAAAACATTTCACCGAAACTCCGCTGTAAAGGAAAATCTGTTGTGGTTAGCACGCTAACGAAAGCTGCTCGGCTTAAACCAATTCAAACTCCATAAGCCCAAAATATTTCCAGTTCTGAACAATACTTTCCGACCCTGAAGTCAAAAAACGATCCAACGCTGCACAGAACCAAAATCTCGAACGAAGACGTAGACTGACAGTATAACGCATGTCGGATAGGCCTTAAACCTCCGCAGTCAATGAGTCATTCTGAAATCATGCGGCCATTTAGCAGGCCAGAGCTGCGGGAGGAACTGTACACATGAAGGTCTACAAAGCGTTCATGTCAGACACGGGAACTTCGAGCGAAAGAGGCAGTCAAAATAGCGGCCCTCTTTCACGTGGTTAAGCCTCTGTGTAAAAGGCAAGTGTACGCCTACAGTGGTGCAGTAAAGTTGTGAAGATTACGGCTTACAAGCCTTTGAGAGCTTGAAAAAGGTAGCAATTCCGACTTTGCACTTTTCTACAAGCTACTATACACCAAAATAGTATGAACATTGTTCTACTTTGACTAAAGTAAATGCTACAAGTTTATTCAATAAATATAAGTGGGAAACTCAAAGCGGGGGACTGGTCGGACGCGCAAATTAAATTTAGGAATTTTGAGACGAATCATTCCTTTAGCCTTATAGTTGCGAAGGCGGTTGCCCTGGCATAGCGAGAGACAGACCCTGAATTGATCGAAACCCAGAGTTCTGAGAAGAACTCAAATAAATAGGCAGATAGGCATCCCACCCACGTACGCTGTCCCGTACAATCAATTCCAGACTCCCAACACTGACCGCCGGCTGGTCATATTGTCCCATAAAGGCCGTGTGGGCAAGAACATGGTTTATGGCCGGGGTCAGTTGTGCCGAGTAAGAGCTGAACACCTAAGAACTTTGTGGTATCACAAATGTTGATCCTTCATATTGTCACTAATTTAAAAGGGAGGCTAGTTTTTCCATCTAATGATAGTTTCGAATGAATTTAATGTCCCCCTGCAGGCATTATCAAAAAGGTTTCGCATCGTTGCATTTTTACTCCGATGACTACCTCTTAAAGCATATTGACCATCCTCACGCAACAGCCACCGCGAGGCCTTCTTATTTCTTTCTCTGGCACGTACAAATAAGCATCGCCAGTTATTTTCTTTTAGTACAACAGCTCCTCGGAGTAAGTAACCCTGACCATAAGCCAATTCGCTGATGCCGTGGGTTTTATTGCTGTTCTCTAATTCCTTATGATGTGTTCCGGTACGCGCCTGACGGCGTTCATATGGTTCCGGCGTTCGATCAGTACTTAACTTTACTCCATAAAAGATTTGAGACTCGAATATTCACCTCCGTCCATGACAGATTTATTATGCGTGAATGGAGGTCATCAAGGATGTCCAAAGCCACCTCAAACTGCCCTAGGCGTCAAAACCCAAGATAACACACTTCGTCTGATGTCCCATATACCCTTCAACGAAGATCTGTTTGTCACTGTCGGTCTCCTTTTCTTGCCTTTTCTACGTACAGCACGGAACAGAACAGTCACAAAACACTTATACTTTTTAAAAACCAGGTGAGCAGACGTAGTTAAAAGTTAATATTATTTGTGAAAGAACGTTTTCTTTACTTTTAATCTAAAGTTTATACCCAAGCACTTTTTAGGAGACGAGAGAAAAGTTAAGGAATTTCACCACAATTGCACAGTTAAATAAATTAGATCGGGCTGCTTGTCGCTTATGTACGATATATCCATAGGAAGACGGATGTGCTTCTGTTGGCTTTTCCTCTGCCCAATAGGTTAATCAGACAACATTACTGTGACAACAGAATACCCAAAGCTCTTGGTATCATGACTTTGGCGAAAGTCGGCCGCAGAAGCGAACCAGACAAGGCTCCCAGGAGTGTTTTGTACTCGGTGGAGTCAAAACGCATTCCAACAATGGTGCAGGAAAAGGGATTGACATAAATACGGGGAAGCAAAAGTCACATACCAGAGGCGAATCGTTTGGGTCTAAGTCACCATCAAAGTCGCTGCTATCATCACGACGGCGCCGTGGGCTACGTGGTGGGAGCCTCGAAGGCGTTGGATCGTCCGTTACTTCGGAAAACCAGTCATCGATGTCGGCCTGAGAGGGATTATCGCTGAGAAGCTCCTTTGTAATGGCATTGACGGCCAACCTGTTCTTGCGCTTGGAGGCCTGCATACGTTTTGGCACTAGATTACGTGGGTTGCAAAGGATAACTCCATCACAACTGTGCGTAGGACAGTGCGTGATCTTAATATAAAGTCTGCCGGCGACGTGTATATACATATACTGTGGTAGATGGGCGCTTACCGGTCGTAATACGGAACTCACTCGTCCCGTCGGACCTTAGGGCACTCTCTCGCGCCCAACCAGCAGCCGCACAGCGGCGCGTAATATGTGCAGAATAGCATTACCTACAAAGACAAGGAAGACTGGAATAGCCGATCGACAGGACAACCAGCCCGTGGCTCAGTGATTAGAGGCGTTGGATTTCTAACCAACAGGTCACGGGATCGAACCCCAGGTGTTTCACACTTCGAGGTTGGGGAGGACTGGTTGAGGACGGCTAATAAGTCAGAAATGGCCATTCCGGTCTCCCGTGTCTTTGTCGGTAATGCTATTCTGCCCACATGTGTATATAAGGACACACATACATGACCAGAATTTCACATTACATAGCAAAAAAGAGGGCGCCGAAGAGTGCTAGTGTTCAGATGCCAGCAAAATTACATGCCCGCAGGCAATCAAGTAATGCTTGCGGAGTGTTGCCAGATTAAAACAAAATAACGGTCCTCAACACGGTATCCCACGAACTGATTTGTTGCAACGTAGGGCTCGCAAGGTAATCAGGCTTGCGAGCCCATCACCAAAGTTCAAAGACCAACTAATGGCACGATACTCTAATTAATTCACAGGATACTTAAAGCTACCAGGGACTGTAGTGTTCCTACGAGAGAGCAAAAAATGTGTGCCGTCAAACTGATGTGGACAGCCAACCTCCCGACTCTGTGCCGGGTGCTCAGTCGACAGTTCAACCATCGAAACCGACAACGTCCACTACTGCTCCATGCGATAGGCGCGGTCGTGACTTGCGCATGAATTTATTTATATTGAAGCATAGTTGCGCCGCACCTACACAGCTCCATCTTCCCACACCAACCGCGTTCGGACTGCAGGACAATGTAAAGATGGCATGAGGGTGGCGTGGAGGAGGGCTGAAAGAGTTGGACAGGCCGTCCACACGTACCACGCGGGACCAGGTTCCCCAACCTGCAGGTAACAGGCTTCCTCCAGTGGTGTCTCCGAGATTACACAAGCAAGAGTGCCATAGAGGCCACATCAAGGAGCCATTATAGCATGGCACTCAGTCCAGGATCTTATCGAATGGCAACCTTCTGAGCCACAATTGTTGGCGCGTCCTGACGATTTTGCGTTCGGTTGATTATAGAGAGGGAGCTATCCAGTGGATCCAAACTGGATCGGTTTCATTTTTTTCTCCTCTCCTATGCACCAGCAGTATGTCTAACTAAGTTCGACTGGGGATGAGAGAGGTTGCAGTGGCTGACGTGGCGCGAAATCGATATCTTATGCCTTTCGGCTGTGCGAAGGACCAACACACCCGGCTTGTGAATCCACAGGTGATCTTAGTTTTTTGGCCTAAACAGCCTTTCCACGGGAACTGCGGAGGAAAATATCGAATAGACCGAGGAACTGACTGTATTTTTAACTACGTTGGGGACTTGCTTTGGTCAACAATCTTGCTATTAGCTAGAGTCATATAGCGATCGGAGAGAGACCTACGGTAACTGGGACCTTATGGAGGCGGAAAACCAGTATCGTCAGGCGGGTTGAACCATTGACCGCCACAGTCAGCATGAGGGTACACAGATTATTTGCAAGGCGTCGCGTATGCCGTCCACAGCTCGAAGACAGAGCACCCGGGGCGAAATCAGAAGGTTGGTCGTTGCAGTTCGTCCGGCGACACTCGTTGTCCGTAGTTTGCATCAGTTAAACATGCCCTTCTTAATTATCACTGGAGTTTCACAATACAAGTGTCTACTTCATAATGGTAGGTAACAGGGCTGCTTAGATTGCCCTCATCGCTCCGTTACACACGAGTTTGGCTAGGAGAGTCAGTCATGAAGTAAGTTTCGCCTGGTTTCCAACACTGGAAAGCCTTTGGCAGATGAGCAGTTACGCGCATACAACTATAAAATACTCGTAAGAAACGGCCTAATATAATCACCTGGGGTTCTTAAAGTAGATCTTGATCTTCGGTTTACAATGGAACAGAACAATTACACAAGCCCAGCCTCGAATAATTCTGGTAGACAATGTTGGTTATGGCAGTGTTAGTGAGGACGACGAAACTACTACTGCTGCTGCTAGTGATGGTAGTAGTAGTAGTAGTAGTAGTAGTGGCGGCGGTAGTAGTAGTAGTGGTAGTAGTAGTAGTAGTAGTAGTGGTGGTAGTAGTAGTAGTGGTAGTGGTGATGGTACTGATGGATTAACTCGAAGAGTGCAGGACGTTCCGGCAACCGAATCCATCCACGTGGAGCTGATTACTGCCCACAGAGGATGCCAACACCAGCAAAAAACGGGATGCGTCGGGTAGTAGTAGTAGTAGTAGTAGTAGTGGTGGTAGTAGTAGTATTCGTGGCAGCAGCAGTAGTAGTAGTAGTAATAATAATAATAGTAGTAGTGGTGGTTCTGTAGTGATCCTACTCCTGCAGCACTGCTGCCACATTGCGTCTCCGTCTGGTGTATATTCGTATGTACGCACCAGGGACGGTCGTTTGCCTAACATTCTTAGGTCCTGTATGATGCGTCAGTAGCCTGAATCCGAGAGGCTCTGTTCTGTTTCTGACCAACCACAGCTAAACAAATCGACTGGACTTAAACTAATAATCTGTACAAGGCATCCAAACAACTTGCATGTGAAGTGTCCTTACGTAGACTTTGCAGAAACTGTGCTTCCGATGTGTCCGCCTCTAGGGAGGAATCACTCCAATCGTCAGGGTGTTGCTTGTGCGAGGGTGATGGATTCCAAGACTCGTTCCCACTGGGGAAGGCCTTCTTCGCGTCGTCATTAAAATCCGGCGAGTTAACGATTGGTTCCCAAAACTCCCGCTCTTCCCGATCGCGTTGGCTAGGTGTTTCAATCTGGCCTCGGTCAAATTCGGCGTCAATCATATCAATGACAGGCTTCATGTACTGCCAGATGGTGCTAAGCACGGCGTAGTGATGAAGGCCGGGGTAAACAAGGACAATGTTCAGCAGGAGGTATAAGAGATTGTTCTCATCAATTTTAGAACCCAGCCAAATAAAGAGCATGCCAAGAGAGCAGGATGCCAGGAGGAACTATAGGTGGACAAGAAGACAGAGCATGAAGGGAGAATGATTGAACACTTAGCGAGGAATGAAAGAGAGATCATAGATAGATAGACTCACGACGATGGGATGCGAGCTACGCTTTGGAACGACAGTATTAAGCGCTGAGACACAGACATGGAACATCCAAGCGCATCGTGAGGCTAATTGCTGCACAGACCAAATCTCTCCTTTGGCGACGGCCAGTTGAGTTTCAGTCGCGAGGTTTACCCCACTGACTTTAAAAAGAAGATCTAAGAGGGGGGAGGATTTGATAGGGTGGGGAGTGGAACCCAAGCTCACCTTCAAGCAGGGGCCAGAAACGGTTTCGTCCCAGATCGAAGACGACCAGTAGGCAAAGAAGCAGAGTTGCAATGAAAATTTTGTTGAGACGAAATACGCAGGTGCACCTGTTATGATAAGCTCCGGATAGAAGATGAAAAACAACCTACCAGAAGGTTGCATGCACAAGTAAGGCAAAAATGAAACTGAAGACGGGCTGTTTCCAAATCAGCAGTAACTCCAGTCGCAGAAGGAGACCCTCCCAGGCGGATACTATGGCCAGCGCGTCGTTATAGAATCTGTCTCCAGTAGGCATGTTTGAGATAGGAAAATCGCAGCTGAACACAGCGTTTTAGCCGGAACCGAAATTTTTCAGAGTCCGACTATCAGGTATCAAATAGATGAATCACAAAAGACCGGGATGGCGGGTTAATCAGGTTAATAGAAGCAGTTTAGCTGGCAGTAATGAGGCATAAAAATTGCATGATGGAAAGAAATAATTAGCCACAGGTAATGTGGTACTGACTTCTAAGCACTTCCTAAGCATAGACACTTGCGCGGGCATTGTTGCCGCAACTGACTTCGCAGGAACCCGGACTGTGTTTGGTTATCGCACACAATTTTAGATGACTCCTCACAATTAATCAGAAACCTTGTCACGTGAAAATTCAAAGTCGGCGACAGTCCCGTACAGCTTCCATGTAAAATCCCTTCATAGGCGTTTTTAAGGCCGTGCATGTCCTAGTCAGAAGGGATGACGGTAGGAAAATGGACAAGGCAAACTCAAAACAAACGTTTTTTGGAATGTGTGATCCTCCTGTTGGAATGATTTGGGGTGGCTTTTATAAACTTAATATAGCCCACCCAAATGTTCATGATGTGTCCTAGAAACTTTCCGAAGTGTTTTTCCGAGGTTATCTCTGGTACTTTGATCCTTTGGGACCCTAACTACTAAGGCAGAGGTGACGAGGGTTAATTGAATGGCGGTCAATGGCCGCCGTGTTGCAGGGCTGTCACTAGGTCTGGTGGTACTTTAGAGGGTAGTTAATGTTGTCGAACGGTGGTTGCGGTACCGCCACTGGTTCTGACTTTATGACGGCCTCAGGCAGGAGGTCAAACGTACAACAGCAAGTCTGCATTCTGCACTGTAACCGGACAGATATACCATCCGACAACTGGTAGAAAATTCAGCATTCAGGTTCTGCCCACCCAAGACAACAATGGAAAATAAGCCCGAAGGAGCTATTTCAGTCTTTCTTGTCTTAATTGTGTACTGCTGGGAGACCGAAACTGGGATTATAGATCGGAGCCCCAAAGAAAATCGAAGTGCCAGCAGTTTTTCGGACAAGATAGTGAAAGCGATGCTTGCATGACCTCAAGTGGAGCATAATTTGTCATGGAGATTTCGTTCGCAAAGGCCGATGACGGCACTATGACATGATCGTAAATAAGTTCGCTTGTCCCCCGTGCCTTCTGACAAGGTTCTAGAGCCAAAGGACTAAAAGAGATGACCTGGAGTATACAAACGGAGCGGTTGTTGGGACCCGTCTTATCCAAAAATGTCAAGAAATCTCACTAAAATGTCCGAATGTTTTGGGGTCGGTGGAGGACGGTGCCCTCCGTGACCATGGTCCAGTGGTGCGGTTGAATAGTATACGAGCTGGACTACTGGATCGGGAACGGACTGTTAGTATTGGATGCTGGAATGTGTAAACGCTCCTGGATCCTGATACCCAAAGTCCGACGGGCGCAGTCTTTATTAGTACGACGTGGATGTCTGCTACCTGTCTGGAGTCGAATCGCTCCCCACCCAGGCACTCGGGAAATACAGATATCGTTAGTTAACTCCAACTTTACCTTATACCACGGTGGTCCATTTGACTCTTCGGATAAACACGGTGTGGCGATCGTCCTCCTGAGATAAGCGAACAGCGACCACTTGCATTGGAACCACTCAATGACCGGATGGCTTACGTGCAACTGAAGGGTTACTTTAGAAACACCTTCGTCGTCTCCGCGTACACACTAATATTGGCTGCCGAACAGCGCGATAAAGAGACCTTATACTCGCAGCTACTGGAGTCAGTTGAAAGACTCTCATTATAATCTGCTGATTGTTGCTAAAGTCTGGAATGGCCGGCCTGGACCCGACGACTCTTCAAACAGTCATCATATTGGCCATTTTGGGCTCGACTCTCCTTACAACAGTAGTGAGCGATTGTCAAATTTTGCTCATCAGAATTGACTGTCGCCAATACGTGTTTCTAGCATCGTCACAAACACCCGTTGAAATGGTATTCGAACAACGGTTATACGGGTGGCCGGATAGACTAAATTCTAGTTGGTTCGTCCGCAGCTGAGTTCACTATAGCAGATCGGTAAGTAGTGCCGAGACTGCTAACTTCCATGGGCCAAAACATGGCCTCATTCGCCCACGCATGAAAGTTCACTTCTCACCCGCATTTGAAATGCCACGTTTCAAACGCCTTGATGCCACAGAACTTTGAGAACCCAGCAAAGCCGAAGCCATAAGCACAGATGTTCGGGCGCGTTTTTCGGCTGAAGCCGACGGTGAAGACAGTGGTAAATGGTCATCGTTAAAGTCATCAGTCCGTTGGGCATCTGATAAAATTGATCAGAACAAGAAGAAGAAGAAGAAGAAGAAGAAGCGATTGCTGGAACAAGGGCTTTATTCGCCTGACGTTTCGGATCCTCACTTGAATCCATTATCACCATCCTCCACCCTTTTCTGCTCCTGTCTCTGATGATGGATTCAAGTGCGAATCCGAAATGTCAGGCGAATAAAGCCCTTGTTCCAGCGATCGCTTCTTCCTCTGATCAACTAGTTCCCGGAACTCGCATCTTCGCTTGTATCGGCAACCTGATAAAGTTCTTCGATTCACCCAGAGGCACAGCAATGACTGGATCAACGAAGGACCCTAGCAGTTGTCTGTCCAGAGGACTCGGGTCAAGTACCATAACAATGCTTCCTTTAGCCAATTCCGAAAAATGATGGCGAAGTCGGCTAGGGATGACAGCAGAAACATTGAGCTGAAATAACAACCGCCATGGTGACACTCGTAAGCTCTGCCAAATTATTCGCAGAGTTAGTGGTAAGCCCTCGAAAATTAGTAACTTTTTTCGTGACGTGAATGGCGGCTTTATTGTTGACAACTCGGCCAAGATCGACCGCTGGCGTGAGCACTTCGTGCACATCTTTAACTTTGATGGGCAACCCATCACACTCGCGCTCTCTGCAGCGGAGTTTTTTCCTTTCCAGCCCATACAGTATCATGCGACCACCCTTCTGAGGGAGAAGTTGCCAATACAATACAGAGACTGCACAACAACAAGACACCCAGAGAGGATGACATTCCCACTAAAATCTACAAATCCTGTGTTCACACTGACGCCCCACGTGCGTGAAGTGACTGAGCAAGTGCGAGGAGACGAAGTAGTTCTTTATTGGGGCTCGGACATCAATTACCTTTCTTCAGGGAGACAGATAAGACAAAGTGCGATAACTAACGCGGCATAGGCCTCACCAACGTTGCTGCGAAGGTCTTCACGGTTGTCCTTCTCAGGCGATTCCATGCAATGCACGTCTCTTGGAGGAGGCCCAACCAAGCGTGATTCGGGGCTGGGCGTGGACCAGATATTCACAGTAGGGCGCATTATGGAACTCCGCCATTGATATCAGTAACTGACGGCCGTCCAGTTTGTTAATTCCGTCTATTGTGGGTTCTTGTGGCGAATAGGAAACTAAACAGTATGCCCGCAAAAATAGTCTTCAGTATCGAGACCTACTATCGCTCCACCACTTTTGGAGTTCTGGTCCATAACAATCTGTCCCGACCGTTCGATAAGCGGTCTGGTGCTCGGCAATGTTGCATCCTGTCGCCCATTCTGTTCAACTGTGACATCAACTGGATTCTCGGAAGGGCCACACATGGTTTTGACAGTGTTGAGTTTGCATTCGGACAGCAGCAGACTGGTCTCGACTATGCTGACGACATCGGTTTGCAAGTCTCAAGCTTTACTGACCTACAGTCTGTGATGCCACGGGTGAATGAAGCCGCTGAGAAGGCTGGTGTTTTCGAGTTGCATCACTGACTAGTATGAGGCCACCTTGGGATCTATGGCTGTTAACCTGAAGACGTAGGCAGTTTCAAATACCTCGGAGTGAGGCTGCCACTCAATGGAAATAGTAAAGACAAAAGTTGTTCTCGGATCGATGCTGAACGCATGGTTACCTCAGCCCTTGAAAAGTGCATATGAACCCTACGCGACGTCTCCATACCCGCGAAGATCCGCCTTTACCGTGCATCCATCCGTGTTAGGCCTCCTCTACGATTGCGAAAACTGGGCTTTGAGTGCAGATGAACCAAAATTGGAGGCATGAGGACCATCTTTCGAGCGAAGTACACCGACTTCGTCTCGAGTTAGGCAGTGCGCACTCGCTGCAGCAATACTGCGAGGATATTTCAGATCATCCAAGAAGGATGGCAAAGGTGATTTGAGCACGTTCCTCGTCGTCCGCCTTACGGGCTGTGTTACTTCGCTCGATACAGCGCTGAAGAGCAGATCAGTGCAAGATATTGCTCGACACAATCCGCCAAGACATACAAATGATGCTTGGACCTTCGCCGAAGAAAATAGGTCAAACTGTTCAGGTCCGCTGTCATTGATGATCACGAGATCAGAGGTATAATGCGTGATATCCTCCGGGCTGGCTAGTTCAGACACGACCATAGCCGTATCATGCACAACCGCTACGACTGTTTGACAAATTCTGTGTCAACAAGCAATAAAGCCAAGTCAACGCAGGGTAAAAATAGATGTGACGGGAAATACGTGAGAATATTTGCTAGCTGATCCAATGACCTTCACGGGAAGGTGTTGGCAGCTTAAAGTTAACACTGTTGTCATTAACGGTTACTAACCAGACCGCCTGGTTGACGAACAAAGCATTAAAGTTCCGAATCATCAGGACTTCTTCGCCGCACGATCATAGTGCGGCAAGGACTTGGGCATTCTCGCCGGCTTGCGCGTTTTGGGCTGCAGCAGATAAATATGGACAAGACTGTGGAAGGTTCGATTACTAACACAGGTGTGCGTCGGGAAGTTCCCGGGGATTTAGGCGGGAGCTAACAAAAACGGAATAGCTTCTATCAGAAAGATTAAATTGGCGGCTGTCCCGTAAATGGACTATCGTCAACGACTAAGTTGGAACCAAACACGTCTGTGCCTGTTAAGGTTTCTGCGACGCCTAATAAATACGGAACTTCATGAACTAGGAATGCCTTGAGAGCTGCTAACTTACTTTCAAGTCCACTTCCATTCGCAAGCATGCTGCGGCGCTCATCTTGCTCAGTTATGAATTTTACAGAGCCGCAAATGACGAGCTTGCAGTAGGGGACACGAACTCTGACCACGGCCAGCCCAAGACCAACCCGGATAAATACGCCAAACTGAACCATTCAAGGGTTATTCGAATTATCAAAGATTTCCCACTTCTGTCTGGACCATGGGTGAGCTTAAGATGAAATCCCTGATTGAATTTTACTAGCCTCTGCCTATCCCAACACTAGCAGTTCGTATTTGTGAGCTTGTGTGCGGCTATTAGTCCGATTAGCTGACTGAATGCAGTCAGGGTGGGTAATTCAGCCTTAGTGCCACACCTTCGCTGCCAATGCCGACAGCGCGAAGAAACTGTAGGTGAACTGTGCCTCAGGAATTACTAACGAGGGTCAGCCAGTCAAAAAACTAGCCGCTGATCAATCGTAGGGCGAGTGAGATGCTGCCAGGGGCGTAGGTTTTAAGGGGTGGGGTTCCGTTTAATTCCACCTTGGACGCTGACACATCACTATACACCCACACGCCCCCTCTTAATGGCCAGCTCTACATAACACTATCTATCCTGACAGCTTCCCACGGTGCTATGGGAAGCTGCGCACTGCGCAGTGCGTCCCTCGACACGCCATATTGGTATTCCGTGGGATTACTTTGGAGAATACAGGTTCCAGACGGAAAAATTAAACGCGCAACATATATTCACACTTCTTCTGTTATCTACTCTTTTGCGACCGATCTTATTACCTATTGCTTGCATAACTTTCATATTCAATAAATTATTTGATCGCATCTGCAGACGCATTCTTCATATGTAATGAAGGTGTTCATTGACGGGTTAAATGGTCACGTTCAATGCACGTCAAATTATGATAGTGGTTCAAGAAATACGACATTCGGGAGCGCCAATTCCGCGAAAACCTAAGTCATTACGCGGGATAGGGCCTCACAAAACTAAAAACACATGACGCACCTGTTATTGGTTAATGATCAGTTTTAAAAGTGCTCCCGTTTATGCAATGTATTTGTTGCACAGGTTCGTATCCTATTCAGATTATTTCATAGAGTAACTAATTCCAAGGCTAGAATAATTCCAGTCTTCTCGTTTGCATCCTATTTGTCGAACACCACAAAAGTATTGCTCTTTCCTTTAGAAATTTGTGGGGATCGTATCCCAACCGAGCATTCGCGGTCTTTGTGGGAAAGTAGAATGCCGAAGTGTAGGATCGGACAGCACAAAGTGCGAAGCACGAGTTCTCATGTTGCATAACGGAGACATGAACAAGCAAAAGACCTTAACGAACAGGATTTGCGTTCAAACTATTCGCAGATTGCAAGTCTGGGTCCCAACTGAAAGCTGTCATAGAATGCGGGGCGTGCACAAAGCGCATCAGAATTATTCAAGCCCACCAGAAAATAGATAGATAGATAGCTGGATAAAAATCCTAAAAAACAGCAGCAGTTTATCTTTTGATATGTGTAATGAAGTATCAAGGCGTCTGCTACATGTGTAGTTCTGTTGGTTTGGTGGTAACAGTCAATGTCTTTGTCATCTGAAAAATCGGGACCCTAATGCTGAATTACGTTTTACTCCATTAGTCTGAATTGCTTCATAAAGTCGCCTCATGAATACCGTACTCAGCATTGTTTGTCGAATCTCGCTGCAAGAGTGTTGCTGATTTTGCCCATGCTTGTTCACATATCTTAAATTGCTTATAAACTGCCAAGAAGATGTTGGATGCAGTTTTTTTGAAATAATTGTCTGTATCAAAGCAGTTCATCTTATAATACGGCATAATCAAGATGTTTATGTAGTTGAACGGCAGTTTTGTTAGGAACAACAAGCGGTTTACGGGCGTTATTTTGAAAACGTCCTAGAATGGGAAGACGTTCTTTGCGTTCTCTCGTAGAGGCCAGAACGATTGTTCTTTGGGCAGAATACGCTTTATAGGCATGGTACCACCTGAGCATATGTCTTCAGGTAGTTCTTAGATGGAATTCGGAAATTAAGTCCCGATTACTCTGAATCTTTGGCATCGTCTTTTGGCGGTGCGATTATTAGCGCCTCACTATTTTGCGCTCATGAGCTTAACGGTTTCCAGCCGCCTGCGTATTTTGAGGACTTTATGGGAAATACTAGCAGTCGGACCCAAACCCAACACCGTAGACTGTAAATCTATCTAGCTAGGAAGACCTGAATATGCTTACATCACTTAACGAAATATAGAACCTCTTTGTAATGTATTAGATTAGCAAAATTATTGAAAATGTCCGTGCAAGACTATGTGCGCGACAGCGGTGGGTCCTTCTGACGACAACAGAGATAATGAGGTGATCCAGGCTCCCATAATACTCATCCAATATAATGAGCAACGTAATTAATGCTGCAAACATACTCGGATGTTAGACTTTCTTTCGGGCGCCGACTGACAGCAGAATCCATCATATGTCCCAAGCAGTTTTATGAGTTCAGGCGCAGTAGGTAAAAACATAGGAAAGAAATTACGTGTCCAAAAGAAAACACCGAAAACATATTAATTGAAATGCCGCAGAAAGTACAATTACTGCCTGTGTTTTTTCGGTCGGATTTACGGTGAATTCTTCTGAAGAAAATCAGGAGCATGAAAGTGGCCACGAGAGCTGAGAAATTCAAATGCGCCAAAACCACGAAAATAATGACAAAGAACCCGATGCCCAAAGAACAGCTTATTAACGTCATATACCGTATACCGTGTGTTAACTACCCTAGTGTTTATGTTGGCCATACAGGCCGATGTCTTGGGACTCGCATGAAGGAGCACAAGTTAGCCCTTCGACGATGTGACCCTCCGTTCCTCGTGTTTGCGCACGCTCTTAAGCGTGACCAATTGGGACTGTACTGAAGTGATCACAAGGTCTAACACCAGACAGTTGCGAGAATTCATCGAAGCTTGGCTTTCAGGCGTGACCAGCATCAACCGCCACGTCGATCTAGACGCTCACTACGAGGGCTTACGTACACACTCACTGACTTGTTCCCACACCCCAACAACTGCTATCCTCCACTCGGCCATATAGACGTATGCCGTTTCGCCATTCCGCCTCCCCGACTTTCGACACGGTGAACAACAATTGAACCCCCCTAACACCTCCAACGCCGACACATTGCCCCCTGGCCTCATCCCGCATCAGTGACCACTCGCCCGCATTCCCACTGATCCGTAATCCCCCTCGTTTTCTCCAGCTCCAACACAGGGAGCCCTAACTGTTCTTCCTTCCATTCCCCTGCCACACCGCCTACCATAACTGGGTACCCACCCTTCTCACACATCAGCTGTCTGTTTTTCGTTGTTTGTCCTATTGCGTCAATCGACCTAATCTGCCGATTTCACTTTCCCCTCTTTCATTTCGTCTGACGACGAGTCGGTGTCACCGACTTGAAAATGTCCGAGTACAACTCGATTTTCCGAAGAGCCTTTTCTTTTTGATTATATCGACTCAGAATGCACACCACATCACTTATTCAATAATAAATGCATTTAATATCATTTTAAGGGCATTATCAGGGAAAGAGGAAGCAGAAGTATGAACAACAGTGAAAAAACTCCTGTCAATTAAATTAAGGGGACAATTTCTTTTAATAGCTTGGAGGGTTCAGCAGAAAAAAATGTTGCCCATGAAATCGCGACAGTCAAGAAAAGGAGGGCTAGCGCTGCGTCGCCATTTCTTTTCATGAATTTGAGACTGAACCGATCATAAACACTAAAGGACAACTGTCGCTC